TTTTTTTTTTATTTTAAAATTTTAATAAGTTTTAATTCCTAATCTTCAAAGTTCTCTCCCTCCTTCACATATTGGACATCCAATTCACACACTCACCAACTTATTTCATCATTTATATTCAATGTTTTAAAATTATTTATAGTTCAAGTTTTACTCAAAAATATTAATAATTATAATCATGAGACTCTTTTTTTCCAACTCCTCTATATTTTTTATATTAAATTGAGATAGATGGGGTAGGCAGTTGATATGTATGACTTATTATTTGATGAAATCTTAAATATTATTGCTTATTAATTGTTGTTAAGAACATTGGCACCAAGAACAAGAGATCCCTTTTGAACGAGGAGAAAGGAAAAGAAAGAAACAAATAAATGTTCTAAAATCTGAAGGCCAATTGCATTGTCCAACAATTATCTGATGAGTCTAAAATTTCTCTTTTATTCAATTCTACATTTTCTAGTTTATAGTGTTAAGTTGAGAACAATGTAAGAATTAAGTGTAGGGGAGAAAAATTTAGACTTGTAATTTAATATACGTGAATGGTTTTCGTGTGATTAATTTAGGTCTAATTTTAAGTTAGAAAAAATTAGGAAAAAAAAATTTCTCTTTTATTTAGGGTCCGTTTAATTGTAAGGGTGAAAAATTGGTGGAAAGAAAATGAATTATAGGAAAGGTAATTGCCTATAAATTGTTTTCTGGGGAATTGTTAATTAAGTGTGTTTGATTTGTATAATTTTTCACCTGAAATTTTTTTGAAATTTTGGATTTTTTTGTTCACGTTTGACTTTATTTTATATGAAAATTGTCCATTAAAGTGAATATTTTTTTTTTACAATTGGTTATGAAATTCGTTACAATTGCCAAAAAGGAAAAAAAAAATTTTTTTGCTCGAAAACTATTTTTTCATCAAAATTTTGTATTCGTTTGATTTCGTTTTACATGAAAATTGTCCATTAAATTGAAATTTTTTTTTTACAATTAATTATGAAATTTGTTTCCATTGCTTAAAAAAAAAAAAAAATTGGGCAGAACCTGGAATTTCCTTTTCCCACCAAAATGGGGGGGAAAAAGAATTCTCTAACATTAAGGAAAATGGTGCGTGGGG